CCCTCCCCCCTCCCCTCCTCACTCTCCCCCCTCTCTCAGCTGACCCCTCTTTTTTCTCTCTACAAACTTGTTTATGTTCTTTGGAAACGTTGAGCTGATAATTTGTTTGCTTCCCAAGACACCAGAGACAGAAAAAATTCACTTGTGGTTAACCTCTCTGTTCAATATGCCTTCTTTCCATCTGAGATTAATGTATTATTAATTATCCAAACCAAGGGCAGCTCTGTTTTTGGTTTGCTCTTGTTCTTTTATTTGACTTTAATCCTGCTGCTGCATTGTTCTTACATATGTTGTACATCTGCTAATTGTGATTAAAATAAAGAATTAGAAAATAAATAAATAATTCCTTCCAGATGGTATGACCTTTGGGGGAACTCCACACATTAATTTATTTTTACATCGGGGTCCCTCCTAATATTGCTACCAGACCTTAAGGGTCTGGTATAAATTGTCAGGGGACCTTGTGCTGTTTTTTTGTTTACATGTCAATTTTCATTCTGCTCACTCTTTCTGAGGTAGCGAACAGAATGACCGAGCCGAATGCTGAATCTGGAACAGTTGCCCATGGCAACCAATCAGGTTGTCTCTTCAGTTTGTTCAATGAGATTTGAAAATGAAAGACAGAAGCTGATTGGTTCTATGCACAGCTGCTCCGGGTTTTGTCTGCTCCAGTTTTGATAAATTCCCCTCACAGTGTTTTAGGTAGGCCAAAAAACCCCAAAATGTGCACTACTGTTTCTGGGCCCTACTATGGGTACAACAACTGAAGAATGCACAAATATGTGGTATTGCCTTGATTATTAGGAGTAAAGAAATTACCAGACCAGAACAAATTTTTAATTTTTACACACACTTCCTCAAATCTGATTGTGTGCCTAGAAAACTTTTTAAGACACCCAAACAATTATAGTTTTTCTAAAAGCAGAAGCCCTGTAGAATACAAAAATGCTAGTTGTAATTTTTTTAATGCATGATATTGGCACAAATGTTTTATTAAATGGATATTTTTAGGAAAAAATACACTAAAAAGAATTTAAGCGCACATAAACACATTATAATATTATAACAATTTGTAAAATATAAAAGATGGAATTGGGTTAGGTAAACAGATAAGAAACATGCCAAACCTTTAAATTGTGCACGCCTGTGAAATGGCAAAAAAATATGGCACCTAAACATCTCCCATAAGCTACATTACATTCCCATAAGCGACAAGACTTTACTGTTCAATAATTTAGAGTCAACAGAGAGTGATGGCTCCAGAATTTTTGCTCTCCCTGTAACGTTCACATTAATATGGAAGATGTGTGGTCTGGGTAACACAACAGCGGCGGCAGCATCACCACCATAAAAGTGATCAAGCTGCACTACAGCCACATGAAATCACTTGTATGTGAAAGCTAGGTGCTGACTAAAGAAAATGGTACCAAGATTATGGCTGCTGCTTGGTATTAACCATGTTAAGACATAGAATGTATATATACATGTTATATATACATAGGGGTTAATAACATTTTAGTAAACCCTGACTATCACTGTATTTGCTGTTTACCTAAATGTCCTCTTATCCTGTAGATTAAAATACATACCACACAGTGTATGAGACAGCTGGGTTTTTCCAGTTCTGAATTCTAAGCATCAAGAAAAATATGTGCATAAATATGTTGTTTGGCAGATTACAAATGCAACAACATCATAATAATATCAAAATCTAAAAATCTACACTACAGGAAGAAAGTCTAAAACCTCATGCTAAATATCTTAACTGATTAGAATTTTCTAAATGTATCATCTTTTTTTAATTTTATTTTCTGTTGTTTATTTTTCTGTGTAGTTACACTGATTTCAGTCATTACATTGATCATATTAATTCAGTTACCTCTTTATTTTTTTGTCAATAATCTGATTAATTGAGAACCCTTTCGCTTACTAGTTTTACCAGTAACCCACTGTATCTCATACATAGGAAACCTAATAAATCAAAGTATCAGTAGCAACTTTGATGAGTGAAAGTATCAGTAGAAAATGTAAGTCTATCATGGAGGTTTGAATGTGACTGACTATACAACACGCAGAGAAAAAATGGATGTTACACAACACATATTCACATGCACACCAAACCACCCCAAATGTGAAGCGTTTTCTGGAATTTTCCTACCACATAATACTCAGACTGCATTAAACTAATAATTATTAAACTCACTCTACTTTGGGACAGCTGAGTCTGACTTTAGCTCAACTACTTTTTTGCTGGGATAGCATTGGCAATAGACTGAGTGACTGCATTTATATATGTATATATTATTTTAAAGTATTAACTATATTTTAGTTTTTATAAGTACCTGAATTTGTTAGCATCCTTCTATAATCTCCTTGGAAAATGGCACCAGTGTCAGCCAATCAGCTTCCACTACATTGGGCAGCACTGTCAATCTAACACATACAACATTCTTACAGTAGGACGTGGAAATTACTGCACCAGTGTTCTGCTGCTCTCTCATTGTCCAATTAGCAGGCAGTAGGAAAATTACACCAATGTATTCCTTAAAAAAGTAGGGCCCCACTGCACAATTCCCTCACAGCCAAAGCTTTCAACAGCTGCTCCTCCAACATAACCTAGTGGATGTGTGGCGAGACCATCACCCCATAGGAAGAGACTACACCTTTTATTCAAACCCTCATCGCTCCCACTCGCGCATCGACCATGCCTTTCTCCAACGGCGCTTGCTCTCTCTAGCCTCCTCCTCTCACATTCTCCCTATACCCTGGTCGGATCATGATGCAGTGCTCATAGTATGCTCTTCCGTTCTTAGCACGCCCCCCTCACCCTCCTGGTCCTTAAATGCATCGCTGTTCTCTCCAGGGGCGACTGACAACACATGGTTATGGGGCCCCCTTGTGCTCCGCCCATATACAAGCCCCTCCCACAAGTCAGATCACCAGCACCCGAATGCATGGCATACTAGTGCCTGTGTTCCGGTCCAGTGCGATCTGCAAAAAGTAGCGCATGAGGCACTTCATGCAGATCACACTGGACCAGAACGCAGGCACTAGTGTGCCACGCGTTCAGGTGCTGGCGATCGCAATGCGGAGGGGTGGCATGGCTGTGGTGCCATTGACTTCCATGCATCGCCATGCCCCCTCCCGCCCCAAAGCAAAGTGAGCTGGCCAGGTTGCGTTCCAGAGCCGAACGCTCTGGAACGCACTCTTTATGGTTAGCTGGGTCCTAACTCTGAAGTGGCATATGCAGAGCAGTGCAGGAATAATTACAACCATCAATTTCCATCTACATGATTTTCTATTCATGTTTTAAAGGAGAACTATGAGGCGAGTGCCTTTTACTCACCTCATAGTTCTAGCCGACCTGTGACAATGAGACTGTCACAGGTCGGCTCAGTAGATTGGGAAGTGAGCGAACACTAACCGGCGTTCACCGCTCACCTCTCGATCCTGTCACGGCTCTCTGCCATGACAGGGGAGGGGCTGGATTCCCCCTCCCCGCCAGCGCTGACTGGTGGAACAGTCGGGGAGGGGACAGCTGGCTCTGCCTCTAGATGGGCAGAGCCGGCTGTCAGTCACGTAGCTGGGCGGATCCCGGCATAATTGTCGGGATCCGCTTCAGCGTCTCAGTATACCGCGAGC